TCAACGAACTAAAAACGGTTGAATCTAAAAATTCAATCTCCTAGCAGGAGCTGAAACAAAGATAAAATCTGCAAAAAGGAAGTGCAGGTAGTAGCCTGTTCCTCGCGCAATTGTCGCAAATTGCTCAATCCTCGTGTGCATTCGAGGAACAGTAGTCGTGCATTCCGCTCAATCGTGCAACCATTTCACCATCCGCAAGCACTTTTATTTCTGATTTTGTTTTTGCGTGTAAACGTAGTTATATTGCGTTTATCGGTGAGATGAAAGGAGAACCGTGTGGGTTTCGCGAGTCGCGATAAAGAACCGTGGAAGAGCGCCGAGCATTAACAGTATACGAAGCACAGTGGTGCACGATGAAGAAAAAGTGGAGAGAGGATAATGATTCGAGGCGTTTCGCGTTTTATTGAGTCGACCGTGTCGACGGACACGCGCGTGTACAGTATATACAGAAGTTATAGTGAACTTCGACGCGGGGTGTAATTGCTTAACGATGATCGTTGGTTCGATTTTTCAATCGTAGGACAATCGTCGACAGGAAGTACTGGCGATGGATCTGGAAGGGAAACAATAAACTCGATAGAATACGATATCAGGGTGTGTTTGAAAGAATAATTATCGGATTCGTGGCTATCCACGGCTTACACACGCCAGAGAATAATAATTTATTTGGCGGGAATAATTGATAGAGATCAGCTCACGAAGATAGAGCAACAATAGGTATAGATTTTGGATATCGGATCAATAATTCAGCGTTTGATGATTTATCGAAATAAATTGCGAACTAGTTAAAATTTACAGAACTTTTGCAAGATTATTTCTTTGTAGTCTTTTTACTGTACGATAGTGTGGACATGTGTGTAGGATAAAAAATTTGTTGAAATTATTCGTAGGAGTTACAATAATATGATGTGTAATAAATATATTATTATAGATATGTTTCTTGCCAGGGTCAGTCTAATCCCCCCCGCGGTTAACTACTTGCCACAGGTTTGATCGCGTTACTTTATCAAAACTCGAGGCTAGGCACGAGACGTTCTATCAGAAACCCGAAACCGTCTAAACCGTGGACGTTGTTTAAACTGTCACGAGCACAGTCTCTAACAGAGGATACTAATCATCCGTCTTTACCCTGCTTTTCGTTCGCTATGACAAGCCATGAGATTGTGACGTGTCCTGGGCTGCGATCAATTCTCTCCAACTCTCTGCACCGCGAAAACCAATCTAAATCAATTTGATCGGTTCCCTCGATTACGTCGCGTTATCGCGATCGTAAAAATCTTGTTCGACAAGAGAGTTAGTAAACGTAGCGTGGATAGAGGCATTCTGGTGGCCATTGCACCGTTGACCTTGGAGCTTTCTTCTTCTTTATCTTTTGCCCAAATTTCTTCTTTTGCTCTCCGTGTCTGTCGTCTACCTGCCGCGATATTTCGACCGACAGTTGTCCCCGAGCACTGCTACCCGAGTTCTCCAGCTTATTTGAACCTTTTACGACACTCGAGACCATCGTAATACTTGCTGATTAGTTTTTCTGCACGTTCGAACTAGCGCGAGGACTTGAAAGATTCAAGTCTACACTGTAAAGGATCTTGCACATTGAAACACGTTGCGACGAATATACGTCGATGTTTTGGTTACTTTTAGTAT